GAAAACCCACATTACGGAATGGTTCTACAGACTTTTATGATTGCTCTGGAATGAGATGACCCTCATTTCTCTAAATACCAATTTGAGGAGAAAATTTCTGATACTAGAGAGCTTTTTAGTATGACAGACTGGGGTATAAGAAAATGGATTTCAAGTTAAACTAAACGAATTCCAGCCTAAAAACACAACATCTCCTTTTAACAATTTGGGAAATTAACAGTTGGACCATCGTATTTAGGGCATTATTTTATTAATGGAGTCAACATCATCTGAAGTCTGTAACATGAATCTGAGGGGTTGTTTACTTGGTTTGGTTTTTGGGGGGTTTTTTATTTGTTTTGGGGGGGGGGGTTGTTTGTTTTTTTAACACCTTGTTATAAACATAGTGAAATTCTGACGCTTGTGTTATTTGGGTCAGCCTAAGTGATAACAATATTAAAAACAGAGGAGATCATTTCTATCCCTGGAGTGACAGTGAGCTTTCACAGGTCTTCTTGAATAATAACATTAAGAGGGAGGACAGGGTCCCTGGTCCCTGGCTTTTGTGTATATGCAGATTGGATTAGGAGATTCTAAAGAAGAACAAGCAGGCTCCTTTTCTTCTCACTCCAGCTAGTGCTTATGCTTATGCTTCTTTTACCTGTCAAAAGCCCAGACATTATCACATCAGAGGAAAGACATTGGCAGGAGGGACTCCTGAAAAGTCTCCTGCGTCCAAAGAGTCCCCCTACGCTCTCGTCAGGTCCCCTGGCAGAGCGCTTACGAGAGGCAGTGCATTAGACGAGGACAAGTCGGACGTCGGCTCTCACAAAGCCCAAGGACCACTCGGGAGTCCTCAGATCTCAGAGCCCGCTCCAGACGGAGGAGGAGCCTGGCTGGATCTCCATGACCCAGTTATGGACCATGTACTTCTAAGAATAACTTTCACATCAAGCGAGGAGAATTTTCTTCTCCCAGCCCCATAAACATATCCCTTACCCTCATTACATTTTTATTAAGACGTCCCTCAGCACGAGTGCCAAACAAACCTCTAAGAGACTTGAATTTCTTCAGCGTGCACACAGCCAGGAGCATGTGTGCGTCTCCCTATCTCAGACAACGCAGAGCAGACACAAAGAGGAACCCTCTTGATAGGATGGATGCCCGAAGAAGCACAGATGAGGGAAAAGATGGCAGAATAGCGGAAAGGAGTGTGGGACAAGAGCCCCGGCTTCTATAACCGTGGGCTGTTCACTGAGACAAAAAAAATTGCAGAGAAGCCAATGAGGTCAAACATCCTTTCCCCTCATCCACTCATTTGATAATAACGATCGAGAAAGTTTGCATTCATAAAAGGCACAGACGTATCACATGCCCTGAAAATACAATCCTACCAGCCTTTCTTTGTTCAAAGCAGGAATCCCCACACAAATAAAACAAATCTTCAAGGGGGAAAAAATAGGGCTTATAACAACATTTTTCAACAGACCCTTAGCTAGAGCAGCACTAGTGGGCGCAGCTATAATTACAGCAAACCTACATAATGCGTCTGAACTAGCTTAGCCCTTTCCCTGCAAGCAGAGAAGCTGCCACATCAGTAACTCCGTTGCTAGGGCAACTGCTTACTTTCCATATCAACTGCAAACTCGTTGCTATGGAGACACATATACAAGAAAAATTCCTCTCTATAGCCAAGGACCAGATGGTAGGGAAGTCAGGAAAGTCATGGGCTAACGGGCTGTACTAAAAGGGACACACACTGGAGGACATTTAGATCTGTACGTTCACAATGGGATTAATCTGTATGACTGAATTCACAGGTCCGGCAGTATAAACAAAGCCAGGGAACTCCTTGTCTACTCCCCATCATGTGATACATCACACTCTGGCCAACTATTATTAAACTGCTGAGCTCAATGCAAAGAGGTTTGCACAATCAAGGGCTCAGCATTTTCCCTTCCTCAGCCCAGCTCTCCGTCTCGATCCAGGAGATCAGCCTCATCGCAAAGTTACATGAATAGTCACTCTGTCGGCTTGCCAGGTAAGCCTGATGGCATTGCAGCTGAAGTGGAATAGCAGCAGTGCATAAACAAATCCAAGGAGAAAAATGTCTTTTCCCAGCATTCCACACCAGACCTAAAACCATGAGGACAGGGCAAGTCGAAAACTCAAGTGATGCAGCCTGTAAGTCTGTTTTTTTCCCCCGCTGTTACAAGGATCTCACATCAGGAAATGCAAGCATTCATGTGCAGGCAGAAAAAGCTGCATACTATTAAATACATATTTAGCCCCATGAATATAAATTAGTGGAACCCAAGACTGAGGAAACTACTATGCAGAGGGAATTCAAAAGAGAATTAAGTGTTCAGCAGAACTTTTTTTAGAAAAACGATTACTGAAAGGCTACACAAACACTGGAAAGCACAACTATGAGAGGAAAAGCTTCCAGCTTTTCACAATGTGTCAACGCACATCAACCGGCAAATGCCTGCAATTCCCAGCACTGATTAACTCCTTCCCCCCCTACTGTACATGTTTCAGAGCCTATCTTGTTAGCATTTTATAACATGCCATTTGCTAAATGGTTTTTTTTTTCCACATAAAACCAGTAAGACAGGCAGACTCCAAACCTGCAATTTGCAGAATCTGGCTGCAAAGGGGAAGAAGTGGCATAAACCGACTCTTTATAGAGGAGAGTCCCCCTGCTTCCCCTGCCCCAAGCCCCAGCACAAAACCGGAGAACCCTTTAGACGGACGCCTTCCTTCCGAACAGCTGAGAAGCTGGCTGCAAGGTACTCAAATCAACCCCGAGCGTGCGTGTGCACACACACGAAGGTATTTTCAAAGCCAGCAGTTGAAGTTTACTGCTTTCCAAGTCCACAATTAGCTGTCGAGCACCTGATTCAGCAACTCTGACCAAGTGCCAATTCTGCGGTCGGGACTGTCTGCCCCGTCCCTTGGCCAGGACACGAGAAAAATCCAGCAGGGGATTTAAACGACCTGCCTTGGTGCATTTCACGTTTGAGATTCTCACCTCATTCGCCTTAATGCTGGCTACCTGCAGTCATCAGCATCTCCAGGAGATGGAAGACATTCTTCCTCATAACCTGGGATTTTCCAGGAATGAATGAAACCCCACCTCGTTATTCATATAGGCAAGGCCTTCCCACCACACCTTGTTGTCTAGCTATGTAACCATGGCTCTAACCACAAATTCGAGACATAGGTGACTAGTTATTCATTGTGCTCTGCCTCTTCCCTGTGGAGAAGCAGCGTGTTGTGGTATTGTTCATATAAGCTCAGCAGACTGCCGGATATTTGACAGATAGACATGAGGACAAGTTCCTCATAGGAAGGAAGCTGTAATCTAAATAGTCAACTTGTAAACAGAGGAAGAGGGATAGAACAAAACACAAATGGCAATGTTAACATGCCTTGCCAGTTACAATATTTTGGGGTTTTTTAAATGTATTGTGTGAAGGTTTCTTATGGTCTGGGACAGGATCATAAAAGTCTGGTGTGGCACTTGTTATTATAGTCTCACTTCCAAACAAGAATTTAGGACTCTGGTTTACACAAAACAAGATCCAGTTCAGGAACAGGTTTTTTAATCTCATACACAATCATTCACAGCAACTAATTTATCAAAATACCAACATACAGTGTGTGATCACCAGTATGTGGACAGTGGATTCTAGGGAATGACATTTAAAAAAAAAAAAGAAGAAAAAAAAAAAGTTCATTGTTTAAAAAAGGAAAGCTCCGGAAAAAATAAAGGTAGGTAATCCAAATTGAAAAGTTGCTAGTTTAGGGTAATGTATGGCTCTTCCTCTAGAGTTACCTGAGCTCCTATTCCACAGCACTTAAAGTTAAATCACACACAAAATAGGGAGAACAGCACCACCAACAGAAGTCTAGTTTCGGGGTAACCAGTTACAAGACAATCACAGCATTTACTTCAGTGAAATACAAAAGTTGAGTGCATCTATTGTTTCTGCCAGCAGAAACTGTCTGCTTTCTGATCTTCAGCCAATTTTAGAGACAGGCGGTCAGTGATGTGATTTTACCTGCTATTTATTTCACTAACCTGTGAGAAGGCCTGTGAGATTACTCTGCAAGCTGATATTTTTATCAGTATGCTCGTACTTTGCCAAAGATTCATCCAGACCACTGCTTGTGGAGACAGTCCCCTTCAGGAACTGCCATCTGCTCCCAGGCAGACTGACGCGGTAGAAGGCTATGCGAAGGACTGCCTCCACCGCTCGGCTCGCTTCCCCATTCCCTTGCACACAGCCTCTTCCTGCAGACGCCGCTGAGGATTCAGCAATGAAACCAGCTGACAACAACAGAGATCCGAAAGCAAGAATGTGCTCCCCAGGCTTCTGCCACCACACCAGTCGCAGAAGCTACACGAGCCCAGGGAGAGAACGACTGAAATTTTGGTGGATGGTAACTTTCACCTTTGATGCCAGACCTATCTCCCCGCTTTGAAGAGTTTCTCTAAAAACCTGCTTGAAATGGAACGAAGCTTCATCACCAAAATTCAGAACTACTTCTGTTTGTTTAAGAGAAAGGAAAGTTTTTTCCGATTACAACTCGGAGCAGGGAAAAAAGCGATGGACTCTTACATAAGGCATACCCTTTCACTATACATTTGTATAAGCCAAGAACAGCAAGCAGCCTATTTATAACATGATTACATTCATCTAGTATAGCTGGAAACCATTACCACAGCATGATAACTAAAAACAATATTTAACCACTATGCATGAAGACACCAGCTGGGGGGAAAAGAAAAAACCACACACACACACACCGAGTACTTTCTTACAGATGTCTAGACAATGAATTTAATAAAATCAGAATGAGCCATGCTGAAGAAATGTTGGCTCTCTGAATTTAATGAACTCCGTTACCAGGGACAGCGTTGCATATTCTGCATTTCACTGTTACGGGCACGTTCTGGGATTAGCAGGTGAATATTTTCAGAGCCAGACAGGTTTCCATAGTTCCAAACTTACCTGACTTCTGTCTTTGTCCACTTTCTTAAAACACTTATTCAAGGATAGATTATGTCTCACAGAATTTTTCCATCCAGTGGGTGCGTTTGCAAAATACGGAAAGTGTTCCAAGATCCAGTTGTATATATCCTTTACGGGCAGTCTTTTGGTTGGCGAGTCCTCAATGGCCATAAATATGAGGCAGCTAAAGGAATAAGGAGGTTTGCAGTTGGGGTTCTGCTTGGCATCGTAGGGCATGTCAGAGTGGGCAGGAGACGGCGGCGTGTCATCACCGATGTCCTGAACGGGGCTAACGCTCCTTAACACCGAGTCCCCAAAGCTTTTCAGCAAGTTCTTGCTCTCGTGTAACCAGTTCAAATTCGTTAATTCTTCATCTTCCATGGCCCCTTTATCTAATCTGATGGCAGGCAAAGAGAAGTCTAGGTCCTCATCATCGTGAAGTGCCTTTGATAAATCACTATCTTGGTAACGTTGGCTCAACCCGCTGGGAACGCTAATTCCTGAGCCCTCTGGCTTCTTACTGGGAGGCATGACTGGACCCATTTAGGCAGCGACTCCTGGTAGAGCAAATCCAAAGGAAAGGGAGAAAGAAACAGAGAGAAAAGTTAGCTCATAAAAAGATACTGCATAACATTTTGACAGCTTTTCCCTAACTGGTCACTCAGCCTTTTGCCATCTCTATCAAAAATGACAGAGTCACATAAAGGCTCATTCACAACTGTTGAGTAAAATAATCTAAAGTCAGGACAAGGCAAGAAATTTCAGTCGATGGAATAAGACGGTAATCCCCATACACCTCAGTTCTGCATGTACGTGAAGCCCCACACAGGAAATCCTAAAGACATGTCCCTTTAGTGATGAATATGTGTATCAAATCATTGAATATGCCGACTGTATCACTTTAATAAGCATGTAAACTAAAAAAATAAAAAAAAAAAAAAGAGGGGCTTAAGGCCAGTTGCTTCAGATTAAGTTCAGCTGTTTCACTTTTGAGGACAATACAACAGCACCATGATTAAAGTCACTCTGGCTACAGGCTGAGGCAGAGAAGCATCCAATCTGACTACAGCTGCAGTTGCAACAAAACTCAGAAATGACAGCAGAACTTCAGAACCAGCAAGGGTGGGAGAAGGGAGGAGGGAAAGCAACGCACGGTAGTTTTGGGAGCAGGGCCAAGACATGGGGAAACAAGCGCCAGAGGAATAGAGCATTTTAAAAATGTATGTAAACAGAGAAGATTTTAACGTAAGCTGAACTGTATCTCAAACATGGTAGAAAACAGAGTCAGAAAGACTGCTGTGATGCTTAACAGTGGCCCGGGAGAGGTGGGATGAGCTGCGGAGGGTACTGCACCAGCAGGCCTGGGGGGATACCTGCGAGCGGTAATATTCTGGAGGACCTGAGCCCTTCAGAAGCTGGGTGAAGCTGGGCGCCTGCCCAACTCAAGAGAAGCAGACAGGACCCCAACAATTCTACTTCAGAAGCAGGACAGGCTCCCTTAGCTTCTCCACACAGTAAAACTGCCAGGATTTAGGTCCGGAAATGTGAAGAGCAGTGAAATAAAACCTGGAGAGAGTTGTTAATGGATGTAAAAACGACAAAACTTCCTGCAGAAACGATGAACAAGAGCAAAATGATTCCCCGTATTTAAAATGTGTCCTCAGCAGTTCCCTGAAGTCATGCAGTCGCACGCTCGATACTGTAAATGAAGGGCAAGAAAACCACAGGTAACAACAGAATGAACCACCGATCTACAGGAAAAAGAGAGCAAGACAGCCATTCTGGGAAAGAGGAACGATGGACTTTATTTTAGCTGTTACAAAAGGGCAAAAAGGAAAAAGGAAAGTTCCTCGGGTCTTTCTACAAACACTTTACACCGAAGCAGCCATTACTGAAAAAGAAACATACAGAACTTTTATGCACAGAAGCCCGTTGATACACACCATCACCAAACAAGCACAGCGAACTTGTGTGGTTTTACACAACTAGCTGGAAGAGGAAAAAATACCGAGGCAGATATAAACACCGGGAGGCCAAACTTACGTAGGTCCCACTTCCTAGCTTTCAAAACAGCGTCCAGCACAGCCAGAAGGTAAACACGAGTATCGCCGGCGTCCAGGGGCACCGGCATCGCCTACCTACGCCGCACGCTCAACTTTGACTCCAAATGGAAGTTACGTCCCAAGAGCTTCTAAACAGGAAAATTATATGATGGCTGACAGTAAAGTAATTTAATTGCACTGTTGCTATGACAACACGCTGCTCTCTTTCTGTTTAATTTGCTTATTTGCCAGTATCCTCCCAAAGGGCCGTATCATACCATCCCTTCCTTTTTTTTTCTTTCTTTCTTTCTTTCTTTTTTCCCCCTCTCCAGGCAGCGGTCCTCACGGGCGCCGGGGGCGACGGGGCGGCCGC